CGTAAAGCATTTATGAGCTTTCCAGCTTCCATAGATAGCCTGCATCACCCATTCTCTTCCAGCTTCAAGAACCATATATTTTTCCTAAACGAATCATGAAAATAAAACATTAGTATGTAACATGTATGTAGCATATGGAGGTCCAAGTATTAACGAGGAATTAATTATGTAGAAAATGAAATCCAACAAAATGAATTATATTACTACGTACTTGGACATACTCCCACATTTTGTCAAGTGTGGGTAGACTTGGAAAGTTAGTATAATTTAGTGGTGCAAGTTCAGAATCCCTTGCCACGGTACCCAAGAATTGCTTGAACTCTTGAACAATATAATTTCCCGTGTAGGTCCAACTGGTTGGCCTAGTGAGTTTAAAACAATAACTTCATGCTCGTCTCTTGTTCGTGCATGAACCTTGGGTAGCATTGTTGGACCTCAATGCCTTTTTCTGTTAAGAGCTTTTTCAGGTTCTGTTTCTGTGTATACATTTGTAAGAAACATGTTACAAGATAGAGGTTGCAAATACATCAACTAAATACTATAATAACGAAAATGCAAACTGAATGAGGAGGTTCTTGGACACATAAATGCACAAGGAAACAAAAATAAAAAAACCAGTGGGTTTTAGCGAAGATGGTAGCAACAAGGCTAGCATGGCAGAATACTACAAGAAAATGGTTGAAGAAAATCCTGGAAATCCAATGATCTTGAGAAACTATGCTACTTCCAAAGATCTATTCAGGCTTCCCCTGAAAATAGATTGGTATTAAATTCTACATTTGGTTTCTCGTGTCCCTTTATTTTAAACTGATTTTTTCCTGTATTGATTTACTGCAGTCATGTGATTGCAGCATATGCTAATTTTCTCTGGGAATTGCACTATCATTCAGAGAAATCTATTGTGAATGACAAGGACACTTGTGCAAATGTCAGTCAAAAGCCAGATGGCGGAGTTTCTGGGGTCAAGCCAGTTGAGAATGAGAAGAAACAACAGTCACATAATTTCTATATGAGATCTGATGAATCAAGTGTAGAAACTGATGGCTCAAATAAACATGCTTATGATCAATATCATTGTTCTTCTGTCTATAATGTAAGTGTTATTCTAGTTTCTTTAATATCTATCCTCACCTACCCCCTCTCCTTTATTTTTTCTTCAAAGCAATTGTTCTCTATTGTGTTTTATTTTATTTATTTATTTATTATTTTTTTTATAGATTTATGGAATCCAATAGTTTAGTCCATAAGTACTGGTGGTCCTGGACTCCTGGAAGATACTTCCTCTAGTCTTCCAGGATCATGATACTTAAAATGAAGTGGTAGCATGATGATGTCTTGCTATTTCTATTGACAGCTCCATTTTGACTAATCACAATAGGAAGATGTGACATAGTTGTGCTAGCAGTACTTTGTGATGGATGAGGTTAGGATAATGTATATTAGTCACAAACTAAGGTTATCGAATGGCTGTTTTGATGGTTTGGGGTAGGAGAAACCAATTTGGTGGTCGGTCAGTGGTGATGAGGTGGGGTGGATTAGTTTAGTCTGAGTGGTAATAGCTTCTCAGGGGCCGTATGGGGTAGTGGGATTTTCAGGTTGTGGTCTTATATATGATGGTGCTAGAGGCATGACAATTGCAGGGTTTGAGGGAGGTAAGGAAAAAGATGTAAAGAGCTTGGAGCTAAAGGTGTTTTTTTTTTTAAGCATAAGTTGTCATATGTTTAACATGAAAGCTGTTAATCAGGTAACTGTGTGTAATGGACTGAGATTACTGTTAACTTACGCAAATAACAGTAAAACCATAGTATGTTCAGAAGAAATTTAAGATTCATAGTAAAACCATAGTATCATATATGCATAATGTAACAGACTAATGAATAATATGATTAATTATTAAATAAAGCCATTTTGATAATTCCGAACAAACTTGAAATCATCTCATTAGTCAATTAACCAAAATTCAGATAACACAAATTCAATTCAGGGGCAGCCAAATAACCAAACCTTTGGCAGAAAATTAAAAAAAAATCCCCTTGTAGATGGAAAACACATAAAACAAGAGGGAAAAAGAAAGGAAAAACAGCTAAGGGACTGAACAAGAAGGAGAGGTAGCTAGGGAGGAAATAAGAGAAAAACAATACCTTGCATTCTTTCTCTTCCATACTGAGATAGAACTTCATCTTCTAATTCTTGATCACCCTCATATTCATTACCAACATCATCATCATTCTCATTTAGTGCATCCACTTCATCATTCTCACTTAGTGCATCTGCATCTGTAGGGTTTCGTAGTGACCCGACACTACGCGGAAGGAAACCCCCAAGACCCGCCCTTTAATTAAAGCAATTAACAAGCATAATAAACTTAATCAAACAAGATTAAGAACGAGAATTATACCTTTGTTGCGTGCTTCGCTCCCGAAGAGCTCTTACTTCAAAATCCCGAAACTACGAGATCTCCGACGGATCGTACCCTCGACCCGACCCGAGCGTCCTAAGTCTTGAAGGTTAGTCAAGACCCGGACAAAACAAAACTATGAGTTTTACGAATCAAAGGTTTACTCTAATTACAAGAGTTGCCTTTTTAATTCCACTCAAGGTTGTGTATTTCCCAATACCATGCCTTTGGTATTTATAGGGAAATGCACCCTTGAACTTCATTCCCCAACCAATGTGGGAGAATGAATAATTTGACAATTAATTTATTTCTAAAATAAATTAATAATTAAATTCAATCACAATGCAACAAGTGTCAAGGGGAGAGAGAAGGTTAGGTGAGGACCATGGAGAGGTGGGGGGGACCATTGCCTTGCTCCCCAAGGCTTTGCCCAAGCCTTGGTCCCCACCTCCTCACAAAACCGCCTTGAGCATAGGCTGCTGGGCTGCTGCCAGCTAGCCCAGCCAGCTAGCACATGCCCAGCAGCCCCAGCATCCCAGCCAGTCAATGCGTGCTGGCGCTGGGCGATGCTGGCGCTGGTGATGTGTGCTAGCGCCTAGCCTTGCTAGCACATAGTGCTAGCGCTGGCCCCAGCAGCCCACGCATTGGCTAGGCAGCGCACACGCCTAGCATCTATGCACCATCCTCGCGCAACACGCTCGCATAGCCAGCATGCGTGCTGCTAGCGAGCAACGCATGCTGGCCCCTTGCCTCGCACCATACGCATCAGCCTCGCAGCACCTCTCGCACACGCACATGCACTAGCATCTCACGCACACCCACGCATCCCCTAGCAGCCTTGGTGCGTAGCGATGCTGGGCTGCTGTGCGTGGTCTAACAATGTGCTGGCGCCAAGGCCCTCGCACACGCATGGTGCGCTGCTTGGTGCTGCCATGCGAAGGCTAGCACGCAAGCCAGCACGTATGTTGCGATGGGCTGCCTGGTGCGCCTGGTGCGCCTATTGCTTGCGATAGGCTGCCAGGTGCGCCTATTGCTTGCGATAAGCCAGCGATGGTGTGCCTAGGCTGCGATGGTGCGCCTAGCACACCTAGTGTGCTTAGGCTTGCGCCTAGCCATGCTAGGTGCATGCTAGCTCGAACTAGCCTAGCATCCACATGGCTAGGCCAGTGTGGTGCTAGGGCTATGTTCATATTTGTCGCTTTGTGATTTTGCGACGCTCGGCCTTGACGCCCTAGGCTCGATATCCGACGTTTGTATTCGTAAAACTCTGTCGACTCATTAAATCCTTTCGGATTAATTCGTCGTCTCGGATCGGTGATTCGATTGGGTTCGACCCGGAGGGTTCAGTTAAGATTAAGCTGTAATATCAATTGTACCTCGATATTATTGATCGAAAGCGGCCTCCACCTAGGCATTCCGATCACTTGATCTTACTGAAGAATTAACTCTGTAATAATTCTAACCCTATATCGGAAGAATACACTTGTTGGAAGGACACCATTCCTTTCAGCATCATCATTGTCATTCTCATTAAATGCAGCGCCACAAATCCTTGTGTTTCTTGTAAGAGAATCGTTCAAATACTGATTACTTGCTACAAACGCTTCATTATTTTCTTTTTGCTTTTTCCGGAATTCGAGGTACGCTGACATGGGACCAGGGGAACCAAACGCTTGTTTTGATCCCTTCTTTTCAGAGATAACTTGCTGCTTCTTTTGGATGCATTGATCTTGAACTCTAGCAACCTTAAGTGAGAGAATGTTCTGAACTTCATCAACTGCATGCTTCTTATGGCTATTCACTTCCACAACATCAGCCATAGTTTTGGGGCGAAGTGATGATTTATTTACTTGCTTTGAAACCTATTAAAGAAAAGGAAAATAAAGCATTACTAATTACATGTAAACCGTGATAAACAATAAAAACAATCTGTATAAATGACAACACAGAAATGAACACCTGTTTACTGGCTTTTCTTTTTCCAGATGTGAGATTGTCAGCCATAATGTTATCAGTTTCAACCTCATTTTCACCATCATATTCTGACGTAGAGTCATCATTCTCATTTTCTAGTGTACAATTCTGCAATGCACTTGGACAAAATAAGGCTTTTGTTTTTTGTTCAAGTATCTTATTAGAAACAGATGCCGATCCTAGGGCTTCCATTCTTTCTGCATTGAATTTTAGTTTTTGAAGCTGTTGCAGCTCATATTCTGTAAGCTGATTTTTGGAAGCAGAAACTTTGGGTCTACTCCGTTTCATCTGGAAAAAAAATGGAAGTATGTTAATTTTGTATGTAAATACAATAAATTGAAATGAATTGCAATGTAAAATAAGCTCATTTATAACATATAGTGAAGTATTAAAAAAATGTATGTCAATCAATACCATCTGAAAACTCTCTAGGAGGGATTTGAATAGCATAATGCCACCCTTCTCTATTCAAATCTTCTACATAAAACACTTGATGTGCTTGATTTGCTAAGATAAAAGGTTCCTCTTTAGAAACGGTCTTATTCATATTAACCGTAATGAGCTCATCATCATCCTTTTGTGAGTGAAACCATTGACATCTAAATAAGACAACACTGAAATGACCATGTTAGGATATCTCATTGATTTCAGTTATTGAACCATAATAATTAACATTTCCCACAACAGGATTTTGATCTTTGGAGCTTGCAAAGCTATGTGTAGTGGCTGTAAGAGTGACGCCACTGTTTTGAGTTACGCAGTTTGCATCTCGTTTCATGGTATGAAACCTATAGCCGTTATCTAAGTACCCTGTGTGCTTTTTGGCAACGTGAGAGGGACCTTTTGATAACCACAAAATATGGTCCTGGATATTATCATGGCCTTCTTTAAGAATCAAATCAACTTTCTCCCTAAACCAATCCATGAAATCTATGCTATGGTCTTGAGCACTATTCCATTTTCTTTTCCTTTTAGCACTTACACAAATCTTGTGCTCACTGTAAAAATAAAATATTTATCTTACTAAGGCGCCAGAGTTAGAATGAAGACATTTGAAAAATAATATTAATAGTAATAAACCTATATTATGGTTACAAATCTTACCTTATATATTTCTCAACTTCCTCACAATCACAATTGAACAAAACATAACGATGCGCTTGTGCCCATGTAATGCGATCAATTATGTGTCCACGATTTTTTTCTTTGAGGTCCTTCCTTTTCCTTTGATAGGACGTCCTACCTTAGGGGAAAATGATTTTTTTTAACCACACTCATTAACTTTGGGTGTGGCTTTGCTTGATCGTTTCAAAAATCTAGCTATGAAAGCAACACATTCTTTAGCTTGGTATCCTTCTGCCATTGAGCCTTCTGGCCGAGCCTTGTTTCGAACATCTTGTTTCATTTCATGAAGATACCTTTAAATTCCATACATACACCTTGAACTCACAGGTCCACCCAACTTACTTTGGTCTACTAAGTGTATGGGTAAATGTTCCATTATATCAAAAAAAGCAGGTGGAAAAATCCTCTCAAGTAGGCATAGAGTTTCAACTATCTCGGATTGCAATTTCCCAAGACCTCGAGGATCAATAGTTTTACTCCATATACCTTTGAAAAAAGCACAAAGTCTTATCAAAGGACTAGCAACATCTTTGGGTAATGTTGTCTTCACAGCAATTGGAAGAAGATAATTCATCATAAAATGAGCATCATGGCTTTTGTAGCCTGCTATTTTCCTTTCTCCAACTTGCACACAACGAAAAGGTTGAAAGCATAACCTTAAGGAAGCTTAGCATTTTTTATAACCTGGCAGAACTTACGCTTTTGCTCCAATGACATCCAAAAGCAAGATCTTGGAAATTCTTCACTACCATCTTCCAATTCTATTGGTTGGAGTTCTGGCATCAGATTAAGTTCTACCAAATCTCGACGAGCACTCACATTATCCTTGGTCTTCTGAGAAATGTCTAATAACGTCGCAATGACATTATCAAAGACATTTTTCTCAATATGCATTACATCAAGATTATGGCGATTAGAGCAATGCTTCCAATATGGCAACTCAAATGATATGGGTTTCTTTCTCCATAGAGTCGGATCATCCACATCACACCTTGGTTTCTTTTGCTTCTTTCCAAATGCATTTGGAAAATCACGCAACATATTCTCAATATCAATTCCATTCAATAGAATAGGTTGACATCTTTCCTCAAGTTTTCTGTCGAAATTCCTCTTATCATGACGCCAAGGGTGAGATGGATCCAAAAATTTACGATTTGACCTATACACATTCTTACCACTACAAGGCAACCACTCGGAATTTGTTTCATAATGACATTCAGGGCATGCCAAGTAACCTTTTGTGCTCCACCCAGACAATATTGCATAACCCGGAAAATCACTCACGGTAGTCATCAATGCTACATGCATGTCAAACCTTTGATTAGTCGAAGCATCATAAGTTTCCAACCCAAACTCCCACAAATCCTTCAAGTCCTTGATAAGTGGCTGCAAATATATGTCAATGTCATTGCCAGGGGAAGACGGACCGGGAATTAGTAAGGCTAGCATCAAATACTCGGGCTTCATAATCATCTAAGGAGGCAAGTTATAATTAATCAACATAGTTGGCCATGTACTATGGACAATGCTCATTGGGGGCTAAATCCATCTGTGGCTAACCCAAGCCTCACATTACGTGGGTCATCAGCAAACTTTGGATATAAAGAATAAAATTCCTTCCAAGCTTGACCATCAACTGGATGATGTAAAAGATGATCATTTTCACGCTCATCAGCATGCCAAGTCATGTATCTCGCCGTCTCTTGACACATAAATAGTCGTTGAAGCCTTTTCTTTATTGGAAAATACCTAAGAATCTTTTGGGGAATCCTATAGGTCTTTCCATTTTCATTTTGTATGTCATTCTCTGTGTCATTTGACTTCCATCTTGGCATCTCACAAACATGGCAGCTTGTTGCATTTTCATGCTCTTCCCAGTATATCATGCAATCATTCGGGCATGCATCTATCTTAGTGTAATCCAACCCCAACACACTACAAGAAAACAGCTAGATTCCGACGGAAAAATTTCGTCGGAAACATAGGAAATTTCGTCGGAATCAGGCTTTCCGACGGAATTCCGTCGGAGTTAGTCTGTCGTAACAGCCTTTGTCGGAAATTCGACCTTTTCCGGCGGAAATTCCGTCGGAAGGTGTTATTCCGACGGAATTTCCGACGGATCTAATTCTGTCGGCGCTGTTTTTGACTTTATTTGGAATTCCGTCGCAAATTGCTGACGGAAATTTCCGTCGGAGGTGGGTAGATTTCCGACAGAATTTTCCGTCGGAAGAGGCATATTCCGACGAAATTTTCCGTCGGAAAAGTCAATAAAAAAATATAAAAAAAAAACGGACCTACCCCCACCCCACCCCACCACCTGCCCAAACCACCCCCACCCACACCCACACCCAGCGCCCCCCTGACTACCCCACCCCCCTAACTACCCCATACCCACCCACACCACCACCATCCCAGCCCACACACACCACCAGCCCACCACCCCCTGCCCTGCCCCCTGCCCTCTACCCCTTGACTACCCCCTACCCACCCACACCACCACCAGCCCAGCCCACCCACACACACCACCCACCCACCACCCCCTGCCCTGCCCCTACCCCCTACCCCCTACCCCTTGACTACCCCCTACCCCCTGACTACCCGCCACCCCCAACCCACCACCACTACCACCCACAAAAAACGCAAAAAAAAAACCGAATTACCCAAAAAAATCTAAAAAAACAAATTCATCCAAATATCCAAATAACGAAAAAAAATCCAAACAAAAATCCTAACGAAATTCAAAAATTAAACATCCGAAAAAAAATCCAAATAAACAAAATTATATCAACACAATTTAATGAAAAAAATACCAAAATTCAAAACATCGAAAATTAAACAACGAAAAAAAAAAATATATAATTACACAATTACAATTACATACAAAATTCAAAGATCTACAAGAACCTAAGATCTACACTCAAACCTAAGTTGTTTTGGCTAGTACATGCGGCTGCCGGCGATGTTGATTGTCGGTGACGTGTGGCCGGCCGTTGGTTGTTGTTGTAGTTGTAGAAGAGATCGATTTAGAAGTTGTTGTTGTTGTTGTTGTTGTTTTTGAAACGAAAACGAAATGAAAAAGAAAAGAAAGAGGGGAAGAGGAAAGAGAAACAGCGAAGAGGAGAGGAATGAAGGAGAAAGAAGGGAAGAGGAGGAGGAGTTGCGCCAAGGAAGGAGAACAAGGAGAAGGCTGGAAAGGAAGGAGAAAGAGGGGAAGAGGAAAGAAGAGAGGAGAGAGAAAGAGAACGGAGGCGGGGAGAGGAGAGGAGAGGAGATAGAATAGGTTTTTTAGGTATTTTTTAAGGTTTTAAAGGGCGCTGTTTTTTTTTTATTATTTAATTATTTTCCGACGGAATATTCCGTCGGAAATTTCCGACGGATTTTATTTCTGTCGGAAATTAAATGTTTCGACGGAATATTCCGTCGGAACCTTCCGACGGATTTTATTTCCGTCAGAATATAAATTTTCCGACGGAATATTCCGTCGGAATGTCCATATAATCCGACGGATGTTTATTCCGTAGGAAATCCGTCGGAAATTTTCGACGGAATATAAATCCGCCGAAATATATAGGATTTCCGACGGAATTTTGTTTCCGTCGGAATTTGGCCTTTTTCTTGTAGTGAACACTTTCAAAACACTTTTTGCTTCATTAAAAGAAGCCGACAGTTTTGGATCAGGTAACACCTCCCTTATAAGCTCCAATATATCTCCAAAAGCAGCATTAGTTAGCTTATGATCACACTACAAAATAAAAAGTCGGATCATGAAGGAAAGTTTTGAATGATTTTTACAACCGACATACAATTCTTCCTGGCTCTCTTCAACTAACTTAAAAAACTTTTTGGCCTCGTCATTTGACCCATTTCTAAAAGCATCACGTGCATCATGCAACAACCCTACTATGTCATCATTAAAATCATTTGGGTTTGACCCTTCATCATTATCCAAAATAGTTTGTTCCCTTTCAATGCTAATCCCTAACTCTGATAACTTATCCGTTCGATGAACAAAGCCATTACAAATAAGGTGATCTCTCACAACACTTTCATGACGCCAAAAACAATAATGACAACTTTCACAAGGACAACAAATTTGATTTCCTTGAGACTTAGAAGCAAAAGCCTTTTGTACATATTCATCTACTCCCCGCTCATATTCATCACTCCATTTGGCAAACATCCACCACTCTTTAGTTCCACTATCCATACCTTTGGATAAGAATTAAGAGGGTTACTTTAATTAATTTTTACTGTAAAAACATTTAATCCATTCACTAAGAATTAAGAGAGTTACTTTAATCAATTAGAAAGAACTGACAATAAAATCTGCTTTACAACCACTAGGAAGAAAGAGAACTACTCTAATAATCAGAATACTTAAAACTAGTGTATTTCTATTGCCAAGGACAACTTTATCAAGTGTAATAAGCAAGGAGTATCGAAGTTGTATTCATACAAATTTATGACCCACTTTGCATTAATCTAGTACAATGAAAAGAAATGAGATGTTAAAAAGAGGCAAGTGTAATTAGCAAGGAGCGTTAAAAATCCTAAAACTAATAATATTAAGGGAGAACCCATATCAAAGTATAATCATTCTTCTAGTATTTTAAGAGCCATCATCAAATAAACAATACAAATCAAGATAAACCATATTTGCAGAAATTGCTTGCTTCAAACCCTTCTCATATGAATTACGTATTCAGACCCAGACTTCTAAGCCTCTTTTAAAGCCCTTGGTGCAGCTAATAGTCACACACACACAGACAATGATACACATCTCAAAGATTGAATAACAGTAATTTCTAATAATTTCTGTTAAATCTAAAGGCTTTGGGTGACTTCTTTAACTAAACAGTAAATAGGAGAGCACATTGGAGTAAAAATGCCTAACCCATCAATGTCTAATCCATATACCTACAACCTAATCGGCAAAGTTTCATATACTTAAATAGCAAATGCATGAGTGAGGACAAATATGTTAAACAATCCACCTTATGCAAGCTTTAACTGGTAAGACTACACCACACATGAAAAAACAAATACATTCTTCTCAATTACAGGATTCCACACAGTCCATAAGGCATACATCACCTAAGCTACTCATGGAGATCAATGCAAACATAAACAATAAACAAAACAACCTGTACAACCAGTTCCCACTCAAGAGCACTCTCCCCATAAGGGGGCAACAACAAAAGGGGTGCAGCAGAAGGAAGGGAGCAGGAGGGTAGTGATGACAGCATGGGAGTAGCAAAGGGAGGGCAGCAAAAATAAGGAGTAGGAAAAAGGGGGCAACATATAATTTAGAGTTGTAATTAGTGTCCAGTTTGCTAGTGAGTCCATTCAAGAAGCAAGGAACATTAGGGAGCATTAGGGTGAAAAACTTGCTTTTAAGAAGGGGTTATGCAACTTTAATTTGAGTAAGTACTAACTTGTTGAAGTTTAACATTGCAAGCTCAATTAATTTAGCAAAATTAAGCTTTTGATAAAGCTCATAAATATGTTTGAGCTTGCCTTATGTATAAGCAAACAAAGTTATTAAACACCTTATGTTCTTCAAAAAGATATGGTATTTTACTGTGCAAAAAGTCATGGATAACCAACAAAGAAATTATCACAAGTCTTTATTTAATTTTTTACAAGTTGAGTGGAAAGAAAGATGGAAAATAAAAACATGGCACTAAATACAAAGGAAATAACAAAAGACAGTTTCTTGAGATTGCTTAGTTGCTGGTACAAGGAATGGGTATTGTCCAGGATTCATAAATAAATATACTCATGTGAAAAAAAAGCATAAACACAAAATACAACCATAAAAGGTAAATGACTAAATGTAAATGGACATAGATGTGTGTTCTGTATTTGATTGTATTAAAACAGTTCCAGTTTGATCAAGTCCAACGTCTATGCAGTGCTAGTCATCATATCCCATCAGGATTCAGAGCTACAAATTCTAAAAGCATTTAAACACATTTAAACCAATCCCAAAGAAGCTAGCTAATGAGCCATATACAACAACGCACATATATACATGCAATTATGGGAAAAAAAAAAATTCGGCCTCCAATTATCAAAAATAAATAGTCAGAAACCGAAATTTACATACATAAGAGAGAAGTAGGGAAAAAAAGTTCACACAAATAATTCACAGCTCACAAAAATGGATATAGCAATAAGAAAAAAGTAATAATCAAAACAGCATAATCATCATAGCTGATACAAAGAGTAATAAACTTGGATATCTAAAGTCTTACCCCATGAATGAACCAAATCAGCCACCCCAAATCAATATTCAACTTCATCCCAAACACAAAAGCAAAAACTTCAAATTTAATTCTCAAAAACGAAAATTTGTTGTATACCTTGAACAGAATCTCGAGCAATCAGCTCAAGGAAGGGACATGCAAGAATGAAATTGAGGACCGCCTGTGCCGCTATCAGCCACCACCGCTTGACTGCCGCTA